GAACAGAACAGTAAAAGAATCATTGTATTATGCTGAGACACATATGAGACAAATTGTAGTTCGATTGCAGAGTGAGTAAGCTTAAGTAGATATCTTAGAAGATCCCCAGAAGAGTTTAACATATTACAAGTTATTAGGCGGTCACCTTTTAGACGGCTGTAGTTTAACGAGTAATGATTCAGTGATTTGAACTGCTCCTAATAAAGTTCAATTTTGTGTCCTGGAACAAAATTCACAACTCGCCGTTTAAGACATCCCAGTTTATTAATATCCCTTTGAAGTTAGAGTAGAAACACCATATTTCCCAATTCTAAATAAGGTCGATTTGAAATGAAGATAAGGTGAAAAATTCTACTTTTGAACTTGCCGAAATGCGCTTGAACATTACCAGCGAAAGATTTACTCTCAAGATGACATAGGTATTCGGAGTTTGACGACGCTTTAACCAGTAACACCTTCCACTATGAATCGTACCCATCAAGTGAAATCAAAAGACAGGAGCGAGAAGGTTGGAAAATATATTTGATTAGCTATCAATATATCGACGATGGTCTGATCTAATCTGGATAGCGATTGCAGTGGTTGTTGAGCTCGGCGTTCCCACACGTGATGTGGTGCGGATTCACGACCGAGCGCCTTCAGCTAGGTGAGTCCATTGAAACTGATGTTGTCGGCATCCAACATCGAAGAGTTACAGAGTTATTTATTTTGGAGACTCATTTACCGCTTCATCTCGAATTGCACTTTTCCACAGTTAGCGTCAAAGTCCAGTAATAGAATAGCAACCTTCTTGGTTACTTTTCAAACTGATATAGCGCTAGAAGATGAAACCTTAGTCGTAGGTTCAATTTAGATGGACTACATTACATTTTGACGCTTTGAGAGTACGTATTCAGTTATCTGTCAGTTTTTAAACATAAGTAAGACACACCTAAATTCCTAACTTATCATCCAGGTTCAAATTGCTCCCCAATGATCAATATCATCACGGAAAATTATTAATTTCACTTTAGGTTGATAATACGATCATTTCGTAAAATCAAACAGAGTAGAGATAATACTATTGAGCCCTGGAGGATCCCACTAGGATATTTCGTAGTCTGCTAAAAGGTGCAAATACAGTGAACTTTATGTTTCGACTATATAGATATGAATCGAACTATTATATTAATAGTGACATGATACACAAAAAAGTATAAAATATCATCAAAATAAATAGTTGTGTATTTCTTCGACATTCACGCTGACCTCATTAGTTTTGCTGGATACTACGTAGTTGGATGCTTTCGGGCACGCATCACGCTTTTTCACAAATAGGTATCCTTATTAAGTATACCTTGCAACTGCTAGGCAGATTATATTGAACAGTTCTTGAGAACCCGCTAAATATATCTTTTTATTCCGTCATTTCTGAATGTCTGAGGCTACTTAAGCTTATTGATGAGACGTGTGTGAATAGCCCAATCAGGAGCTTTGAGCAATGGAGATGCATCACGCCAAGTCTCTCCTTGCCATAGAGAATAATTAAATATCTGTTTACAACAGTCAGTAGTGTAGGAATACACAAATCAGTTCTCCTTAAAGCCCGATGTTTTAATCAACTAACAAACGCCTGAAAACCGATACAACAGAAAAAGAGTAGTTTTTGTTTACAATTGTTTTGTTAATTTCGGAACGCTACCATTGTAGAGGAGAGTCGATAATAATGAAGTTACTCGTGGTTCATATACTTACACTCGGAGAGAGAGCAAATTATGCGAACATACACGATGTTTTTTAATCCGCTACCTCTATCATACTGCATTTAGAGATTTATATTTTACAATTACGTATCAATGCACACCAAGCTTACTATAAGTTGTCATTTAATTAGCTGTTTTTGCCTATTTTAATATTCATACATCTACATGTTTAAATAACTAACCGTACTTCATCATAGGGCGCAAGGAAATCAGCTAGTAGTAAGGTATTGGACATTGGGCGTCTCACCTTTCTTTAAGGACTATTTTGAAAGTTAGATGACAAATCGCGGTCCAACTACTTGGTTTGATAGTATAGGTAACTTAAGAACTGAATGCCCTGCTAAGGAAAATAAACGACTTCGAAAAAATGTGAGGGTCTCAGCATGTCGTCGCCTTGAAGATTCACATAGTGAGTTCACGGTAGAGGACGTTCATTCAGACGGGGACTACAGAAATTCTGTCTCGCATCTCCTATCAATAAACTTTGGCCTTGACGAGAGGAATGAAGGTGAAGTTCGTGTGTTTTATGATTCATGCTCCACAACACTTCTTGGTTCAATGGCTTTAGAGGAGTGAATATAAATCATTACGTCTTCTTGGTAGATCCGGCTTCTGTGTGTATATTATGTTCAGATAAACCAACTATAATCCACACAGCCTACTTTTAGGAAACCTTTTGACTGTATTTGCTATAAATAACTTCGTTTGGTGTTTCACATATCACTTTGTATGTTTGTATTGCAAATATAGTTTATGGATGCTGATGTTGCGGAAGCAATAGCTCAGATACACGTTAGCTACCAAATTCCAGTACTATCTTGAGATAGATTTGATGGTTCAATACTGCGACATGTAATCATCCCACCATACATAAACACTCCATTTAAAAACAGAGGATCACGAACGTATATAAAAAGTAAGACCAATTGTAAACCCAGCCGTATTCAGTCCAACAAGAAAGCACGTTAGCGAGGCTTGATAAATCTTAATTACCGCTTTTCACATTTAAACAACAGATAATTCTTCACTTTTGTTTAAAGGGAGATCTTCAATAAGAAATTAATCGTTAGTGCAAAATATCATGTTTCACCTGTCAATGAAGCTGGCGTGTGTTTGCCATCAAATGAGTGAGCCGTGTTGTAACCAAAAGAAATGGGCACTAAATCCGATAAGCAAGAGATTTTGTGTGCGTTCCATTAAGGCTTTGCAGTGAAGCAAACAACTAAATTTCTGATTAGAGTAGTAACATGGGATGTCGTTTCATGCGGTTTTGCACAGACATAGATGGTTGGAAAACGAACTACTCCATGAGTACCTACACATATAGTTATAGCAATTGAAGAAAAAATAACGTAAATATACCAAAATAATATATGGATTTGTTGGTTATATGTTGTTGCTGTTCAGATTGGTATTAGCTTCTTTTTTCATAACCGGTAAGAGGCTAAGAATTTATAGCAACATTAAATGAATTTAGTCAAGACAAATAACAATGGCAAATTTATAATTGCGAAATACCCTTGTCAAGAATTTCAGGAGGTAGAGTCCACTGTAAAAAAAATTAAAGCAATAAACTCTCAGTTACCCTAAAGCAGTTCTTTAAGCGTTTAAAATCATTAAATTCCATTTTGTGAGTGATTTTAACAGTAATAACTTGTCGAAGCTGCTAACTAAACCCGTTACCTGTTCAGGGCCTGTAAACTCAAATAGTTTACAAAAGCTTGCAATAAAGACATTAGATATTGGTTTCGAACTTGACTTTATGGGCTATCCAGTTAGTAATTATGGCTTGATAACGAAGTCTACTGTGATAACCTATTTATGCAGTCACGAGATTATTTCCATTATCAAGCACATTTAACTTACGAAACTATCAATCTCAACCAAACTATAAAGCTTAGTAAATTTGTGTAACTGCTAACTGATGAAATATTAATTAAAAATCTATTCACTCATTCTCCCTATCCTGCCCCGACTTTACAAGGTCGCTTGCTCATAGGAAATTTTCCGGAGGGAATGAGAATCTGTACCAGCAAGAATTATTTTCAATTAGGAGACAAGTATACTACGCGGCCATTCGTTCTTTCCTGATTTACGGCTGCGAAATGTGGCCCTTAAGGGTAAAAGATATTCGTAAGCTACTAGCATTTGATCACATATGTCTCATAAATGTTGCTTGCGTCTGCTGAGATCATCGGGTAAGTAATGGCGAGGTTAGACGCAGGGTATTAGAGAATGATGGAAAATCAGTTGATGAAGTTGTGAATCTTCATCGACTGAGATGGTTGGGCCACGTGTTACGTATGCCTGAACACCGATTGCCACGACGCGCAATGCTGACTATTGTTAGGGAAGGCTAGAAGAAAGTTAAGGGTGGCCAAACCAAAACGTGGCATCAGTGCTTAAAGTCGCTAACTTCTATTCTTGGCCGTGTTGGTAGATGCAGACTACTTGGTTTGGGTCGGCATGACTATCCTAATCAATGGTCGGAGACTCTGAGTGATATGGCTCAGAACTGATTACAGTGGCGTCGGTGTATACACTCTGTCTTCTCTTAAACTAAGAGACTAAAATTACTTTATATCTTTCTTTCTACCAACTAATTCTTTTTTCTGTACTATCTCCTTATAAGCGATCATTCTTTTATATATTACCACCAATCAAGTAACTACTTCTATGAATTCGGTGTTCAGCCTTTTGTGCTAATGACGTATGGCAACTTGGACAGATGCATATATATGTCTGGACCTACGTCGCAGCTGACTGATGAGTCGGATATCTTTGGTTATTTTTTTCACCCAGTATGTAGAAATCAACTTTAAGCAGCAAGATTGGTGAAAAATGAGAATCCAATCAAATTCCAAATATCTGAACATTCTATTATTGAAGTTTAATTTATCTCTATTTTATATTATACTTGCTTATCTTTTAATTACATTTAAATATTCATCGTTTTCCATGCATACCAGACGAAAGTAACTTTTTAGTTATATTAGTTACTGAAAAAATCTTTTTAAATATATTGGAGAACAGATAAAACATCTTTATATTTCATAAGTGCATAGATTACAAAAATAATTGTCAAGGACTTTCATAAGTTTAAAAATATGATATCATCTGTAATGAAAACAAACACTGTCGAATTTAGGTCGAAACACTTACATGGGAAAAATTATACGAAATAAGAGCGTGTTTGATTAGTTCAACAGTGAAACATATAGATAAATATATACAGATAAATTATGATTAAATATAAAATTACTTTTGTAATTTTATATCCATTACTGATGACAGCAAGAAATCGTCCATCAAAGCTTGTTGGACACCACAATCATCTAAACGTAATCGGATACGTCTTAAACGTGCTGGTGTACCCACTGTAGCTTTAACTGAGTAACGCGGACCAGTAAGTTGAATAAATCCACGAGAATCAAGAAGATCGCATACAGCGGAGAGTTCAGATTCATTTAAACTTGTAATTTGTTTTTTCTTACATATAAGAATGTACGTATCATAAAGTAGGCTAAACGATAATTCACGTAAACCTTTTTGTTTTCTTAACAGAAGACAGCTAGCCAGTAGAAGCTTATGGTGTAATGGCAGCTCAGAGCCATTAGTAGTAAATGTATTAACGCCAGTAAACGATTTAACAGGAAGAGGAGAATCAACCTGGTAAGAATGAAAAAAAGATTAACTCGAATTACCCTGAGATATAACACAAAGACAATACAGATGTTAGACAAAAAGGACAAATTCAGACGACTAAATATGAAAGTAATATTTACGTGAACTGATTTAACGATTTTAAGATCATGTTTGGTCTATAAGTGCTACCTATTAATTAAAGCATTGTGTCTATATCTTTTGGATTGTATGATAAACAAACACATCTAATTACTAAATTACTCTAGCGCAAAGGAACTAATGAAAAGCGTTTATCTAAGTAGACTGAAACTGCTGGCAGTAGCTATGAACCTTTGTCTTTACTATTTTAGCCAGTTTTGTTACAGATGACGGGAAAAGTAACGTCTGCTTTAAACTTTCTTTGCAATGAACCTCCATCCAGAAAACTTGGGAACTGTCTACAGTAAACATATAATATGATCCTGATAAGCAGATGTACTAACAAGTTATAAGAAAACAGAATGTTTGATATGAGTTAAACACTTAATAAATACAAGGTGCTGCTAGTTTTATCCAAGCCGACCCCTAGTAAAACAAAAAATAAAGTGGCTGGACGTATCAACAAACAAAGCTACATCAATCCAGGTAGTGACCAACAAAATTCGGGTATAGATGTGGGTCGTAATGGAAATAGCGAACTATTTTTAACCGCTGCATGAACAAAATCTAATGGTCACGTATAGGAATGAGAACTACACCGTTTCAAAACAAGGCGTAACCGATGATAGTAAGCAATAATTACATAATGTCGAATTTAAGACCCAATAGCGATATGATGATAGGCGATTTATTTTGCCCAAAACACTACCTAGCAAATATTACTGTATTACATTGCTTCATATCTGGTAAACAAACAAGCAAGCTCTATCAACAGGTCGAAGTGTTCGGCGTCTTATTTGTAAAAAACATCTAAATGACTTAGTCTGTACTATATATCTCTATAGTTTGTTAATAGTCTCAAAATACACTTCCAACATTACTTACTACGAAACTACAGTACTCACCTGAGATTCCTTTAAAGCCCTACTTATATGCTGGATGGAAGGTGTAATGTGAGAATCAGCCGCCACCTTTTGAGGAATAAACGCGTCAGATATGTTTTTCATCCGAGCATCTTGATGGGCTAAATCAATCGCCCTGCGACATATATCTAGTGCAGTACGTGCATCCCCTGTAGAAGCAGCAATCTAAATTAAATATGCTGACAACATTAATACATGTTACTGGAAAGAAAAGTAAACTATAACCTAACACTATATTGCAATTTAAAAACAGTTGCTTTTCCCTAAGAGCAGTGATCAGTGTTCGAAGGGAATATTTCATATTAAATGTCACTGAACTCTTTAAGTAATGAGTTACTTATACAATAAGGTAAATCTATTACATATGTTCTTCCAAAATAGTTTTGTTCTAGGATATTTTACTACAAACTTCAATAGATTAATAAAAGCTACATAAGTAATAAAAAAAACAACTAATAAATGATAATTTCTCTTAAGTAGTGACCACGCATGAAAGTAATTTATTTTTAATCAAGGTATTCAAAGCATGTACATACTTCCTGCTCAAATATATTCAGAATATTCCAGTAAGAATAAAAATCTTTCAAACGTCTTAACATCTATACTAGTAAAACTAACGTGTTAAATTGTGATATAGAAATATTGCTAACGATATGAAATGAGTATTCGAATATTGATATGTGATATGGCACTTGAACTTGTAGGTTAGGTTATATATATAGCACTAAGCTGGTAGCTCACGAAATGTGTTTAACATTCTCGACATATGTAATCACCATTATTTTTTCTCTTGAATCTGTTAGTTTTAACCCTTATAATCCACAGCCATTTACTTATTTTAACACATGAATATTGATACAAAGGGGCACCGAATACAAATGCACCACACAAGTCACTTGATTTGTGTGTGGGCTGCGATACTGCCCGAGCACCCAGACCGAAGCAGGTGGTTTTCTTAAGTGGCCACACCCGGAGCCTTCGACCTAAAGGTCTGGTCCACAAGGCAGTGGAGCGACGTCAAGAGATGAAGTCCGATTGTAGCCGGCTACCAACAATTAGTTCATACGCCATTTGTTCTCTCAGGGTACTGGAGCCCATGTGCACCATTGGTTTGGAATCAGGGTTTTCCAACTCCTCTAGGTGGATCCGCCGCGAGAAGGCAACGAGTAGGACTTGCCTGGCAGTGGCTGTATATGCGTGGCCATGTGAAAGCATTTCGAGAGGGAGAGCTGACTCTCCCCACCCTCGACCGTACGAGGACATTTGGGGGTGATCCAGAGTCATAGAGCTCTGTAATTCATTTTATACACTTCACAAAAGACAACTAGTTACACTGCTGAAATACGTCACCAATTTAGGAGCAAAACACAAAATGAGGAGTACTGTGCAGCCCAAAACTGATTGCCTTACACACTAACACGAAAAAAAAGAAATACTGGAAACCGAGACCTTGAGAAAAGCTTGGTCTCAGTACGACGATAACGACCACTATCCACTCCTACCACAACTAAAAAGTTCATATCTTGTAGAGACCAAATCAATACCGCACCATATATTTGGAATATAACAGTTGACTATTAGATTTAAATGGACCCTGATGTAATGTACGCATTTTAGCGTAACCTAGTGAAAACTTCACTCCTATTGATGATTACTTTATAGGAAAACTCACAAGGCTTGCGTAAATAGTAAATAATCTGAAATATTACAAATCAAATAGCTCACTTTTCTAGAACATAGTTGTATAGCAAGAGCTTCTATACATGGTCCACGACTTGATGATTTGGATAAATGAGCTTGGACAATTTCAGCAAGCTCATATTGTGAATATGGTTGAAATATAATATGAATAGGTTTGTAAACTTTTGATTTCAAACGTGGCAGCAGACGCTCTGGTAAATCTAAGGCATTTGCTACTCCAATAACAATGGTGTGACAAGTAAGTTTTGATGGCCATTCGAAAATTCTAGAAGGTAAGTGTAGTTATAAAACGCGGACGTTTCATTAATGATAACGGGGAAGTTGATAATTCACAAAATAGCCATAAAAATATACGAATTCGTGAGTCGTCCTGATTTTAAAAAATTTAATAGTATTATAAGACCTGGTTAAAAGGGTTTTAACTAGGATCGTTTTAGTGCCACACTACACTTTTATTTGGGCACTGAATATACCACAAGTCTTACAATTAAAGTACGTTAAGACAATGAATCCACAAGAATAAAAGTATATACTTACAAGTTACGAATGAAATCTCTTAAACCAAATTTTCATTTTTTTAAGTATGGAAAAAACTAATCAGATGAAACCTTCATTCAACAGAAGCAAGGTATAACACAGGACAAATATGGATTGGTTTAATGTGTGAAATGCGAAAACCAGCACGAAAGGAAAACAAAAGCGATGGGCTGAAATTATCAAACTGGTGCAACACTAGAATAAAAAAATAAAACCATGAAGCGGAATTCATGGATAGTCAAGAAATATAGGACAACAACGACTGAACAACTTCATATCGTCATGATGAATTAAGAATTACCGATAGATGATTGTGTCATCTGACTGATTATGGTAAGAACTAACTTTTATCTATTTAGATTAATATAAAGTTACTGCAATTAAAAATAGAACACTAACAAAATATTCTGAGAGTTACGGGAAATAAAACCACCTGTAGAGTAACTTCTGACTACGCGTAGATAACTGATCAACTTCATCTAAAACTAGGATAATGGTCTTTTTTTGTGGTTGTTGATTCAAAAAGCATTCCAATGAATCAGCATCGCTAATTAAATTATTTTCCTTGCCATTGTGAGCTTCTAAAACGGTAGATATTCGTCCAAAAATATCTGCACATGACGTTAATTGCATACAATTAATCACAGCAGTATTACATTTGCCAAACGTTTTAAAATTTTGAACAACATTCAGAACAACTGCTGTTTTTCCAGTTCCTGGGGCCCCACTTACATAGAAACTAGCACTTTTCTTCGTGTCTATACAAGACTGAATCAGAGATGTCAAACGACTGATCTCATTTGCTCTTCCAACAATCAGTGGACTTGATTCCGCAACCTGAGTTGCAGAGTTGGCTGAGAAACTGACCTTACATTGTGTAATATGTGAATCAAATACCACAGGTGGATGGGTTTCTTTTTGATCGTCAAGGGAAGTATTCAATTTATCCGATATATTGCTTTGATCTCTTAAGTTAAAAGATTCACAACCGACAGATGTTACGTTTCTACAAGAATCAGGGGGACTCGGTCGTCTTCGCTGAGTGAGACGACTTCCTGAAGTTCCCGTTGAGCTGGAAGATACTGAGGGGGTTACAGAAAAAACTCTTTCATTTCGTTGTTTCCGAGGTATGACTTGTTCTGACTTATTTTCTCTGATACTAGATCTTAAGACACGACTCATTTTTGTCAAAAATATTCACCAGTTTAGATGTTAGCATGAAATGATATAGATCTGGTTGATAAGGAAGCTGAAAAAAAGATGAAAGATAAACTTATTGGTTTAAAACGTGGAAAATAAAATATCAAAATACATCAGAAAATTACGGTGTCCTTAATAAATTTAAAATGGCTTATTTATAAAAAGAAATGAAACAAAAAGACCAGAACAAACGATTTGTTATAGTTTAGTATATTATCTTGATGGCAAGACTACAGTTTATAGACGAACTAATCAGACTTAAAATAGGTCTTGGACTTTGGCGCGAAATTCATTCATCCATAGAGATGAATGGTGTTTTGAACCTACAGTTGATGTCGGTTCGTGAAAACTTTTAACTCCAATTTCCCACATTAATTTGCAACCTTCGTTTAACGCCAGTAAGAAGGTGGATGGTTTTAAGGTCACCTAAGCATCACTCAAAGGTAGTCTATGAATTATCGTCTGGCCGTCACAGTAACAGCTTTTACTTGAGCCTAATAAAAAAAATAGAACATCTGAGAAAAATTACTAACCATTTCAACTCCTTGTTATACCAGCTTTAACTATTCAGTGTGCTACTAAATATATTATCCGGGAATTTATGGACAGTGAACTACAAACATAAAAGACCATTTCACAAACTAACCAATTTTTCACGACTTTCTCACAATACCTACGTCAGGAAATGTGGAAGCCACTAAGATAGTGGACTATGGAAGATTCTTATTAAGATAACACTACTCATTCACTGACGGTTTTTACTTTTTGAAAGCGTAACACTCCAATACTACATTGCAGTGCTGCTATCCCATATAGATCTTATACTGCAAGCCATAATAACGTAGGACCATCCTCACATTTCAAGCATTAAGATTTTCGGATTGAAATAGACTTACACAAATATATAGTGGATTGTGTTGAGTCTAGACTTTTGCACATTCATCCTCAAGAGAATAACAGATGTGGGCTGAAGATTCAAGAAGAAAATAAAATGCACTCACATTTAGTAATGAGCTAATCGATAACAATCAGTGGTAGCGAGCGACCAAAACAATTCGACAATCATGACCGGAAGTACCAGGATGAGATTTAAAGTCCATTACACATACAAAGTTGCGTCTTTGGTAGGTTTGAGTTTAACCTGAAGATACCTTGTGTGCAAGGGGAAGTGCGAGGAGCAGTGGGCTCCAGATAATCTACCACTCAGTATACGCAAAGAATGCACTTAAACTTAATTAAGAAAACGAATCCAAACAAACACAACACGAGCGTGAGATTAAGACAATATGATAATACAAACAAGAAGTTGATAGTGTCAACAAACACTAACAAAACACGCGGCCTCAATCCAGAGTACAGGATTACATATTTCAAGCTTCAACTTCAAATTTGTTTAGCAGATTTAGTGAATTGTTGGTTACTCGGTATATGCGTGAGTAGCTGATACGAACTAGTGGTTACGTAAAGGCGTGGTCCCTGTTACATTTCCTTCACAAGAAGAGGAAAAACAAATTGGTCAGTAAAGGATGTGATTGAAGTGTAGCACCTAGATTGATCCCATCTACTACCTATTGAACTAAAGTAACCTTCCAGCCTCCTTCAGAACAATTCAATAGGAGTGTGTAATATCGAATATTTTTTGGATCAGCATCACCCGTTGTTACGTAGACCCATGAGGATTTGGGGCACTCCGAGTCAGTGATCTTAAGAAAGTCGTTGTGGGTACACAGAGTCACTAATAGAGCTTGTGTTTTTAGGTCTAATCCTTATATGCCTCAAGGATAGAGACAGTGAAGTTTGTGGATATGCTTTTCTAAAAAAATGGCTCAGATGTTATCCTAATCAAGTCAAATACTATACGATTATCATGATTATCATCGGAGAGTGAGGCGATTACCGGTAAGCAGAAATAAGTTGGCCAGATCGACAATCAAAGCTCTTCAAGTTTACTCACAAGGTAGAAAAGAATGTATATTTAATGGACAGGTTGTTATGGTAGATGACGTGCCGGTTCACAGACCAAAAAACCTGTGATGAACAGTGCCCAAAACTGGCCTAATCTTGCGGATTTATCATGGTCAGAGTTAATGGGCGGCGAAATCATATTCCTTGTTGTTTGTAAAGTGTCTGAAGCACATTTGATCCTAGACCGAAGATTACGTAGAAGAAAAGGTGCTTATGCTAGTAGTACACTGCTAAGGTGTGTTCTCTTTAGACCAGCATGCTACAACAAGCATGATAAAAAGATTGTTAATGATTTTTCTCAAACTGACGATCCTGTAGAGAAGTTAAAAAGTATATAACCATGAGTTTCCTGACATCCATTCATCTTAAAAATCACTATTTTTGAATGATTTAAAAACAATTATAGTAGTAGATTACGACACTTATTTTGATGAAAGTCACTGGGTAGTTCATTTACCTTGGAAGATAGGAAGAAATGTGATTTCTGAGAGTTAAGCCCCAGCTAAACGAATATTTAAAAAATTGAGACGTCTACTTGTAGGCTGCAAAGACTTACATGAAAGCTACACCCGTTCCATGCGGTAGATTATTGAAAAACGGCGTGCTAACAGAGTTCCAGGTATGCAAATGTATACGAGCTACCAACCATGATGGTATTTGTCCCATCATGCTGTGAATAAAACTTAGAAACCAAGGAAAGTGAGAGTGACATTAAGTTATGTTGCTAAGGTGTCTGGTGAACCTTCAAACAACCATCTCTTTCAAGGTCCAGATGTGACAGCAAATTTAGTTGGGTACCTCAGGGAACCGGTTGCCGCATCTGCGGATGCAGAAGAAATGTTTATGCTAGCAGATGCCTCAAAGGTCCACCACAGAGCACTACGTTTCCCCTAGTGGCAGAGGGTGGTCTCACAAATGAACCTATGGGATATCATGTCATAATACCGCTTTGGGGCAACATCTTCAACATTCTGCGCAAATTTTGAACTGGTATGGACATTTCAAAATATCCGTAAGGGCTATGACAGCAACATAGTGGAGTCGGTGCCGCATAACTTTTACCTGAACGATTTGTTAGTATCCTTTCCCAAAAGATGCGAAAACATTTGTGGTACGATTGAAGAAAGTTCCAAGTTGAAAAGGTGGGTAACTAACTGAGAATTGGTGATGTAAGTTGTTCTACAATGCGATCGTACAGAAACGGTAGTTGATATGCCTTTGAACCAAGGGTCCACCCACCAAACCCTTGGAATTGAGTGGGACACCACCCACGATGTTTCTAATTTCCTGCTCGACCCGAGGAAAATCCTATGATCTGGAGAGGAATACGATCCGCCGCTTTATCTCTATTCGATACACTGCGACAAATCGCTCAGATATACCTTCACGCTGAGCAACTCTTACAGAACCTTTATAAAATACACATTGTTTGCGACCAGACACTGAGTGTAAGAAATGTGTCAACATTAGACAATTGGATTAAGTTTGAGCAGAAGCTCAGGAAGATGAACATTCCCTTTTGTGTTAGAAATGAAAACGGAGAGAACTGTGGAATGACTGAATCACATTTGTTTTCCGATGCCTTCCAGTGTTGTGACGACGGACCACAAGTGGACTCGAGGAAGCCGTAGGAGGCTCATAATGAACCGAAGATATTCCATCCAATCACCTTTCAGAAGAATATCCTAGAATTCCAACGTGTAGCTTCTTGATTGGTCAATGCTAATAACCCCATGAATGCGGATTGATGGGCTGTAATGATGATTTCGTTCTTACTAAAAAATATAAATACCTGGCAATTTTGTACTATAATGAACACTGTTGAAATAATATTCCTTTCGTTAGTCTTTTGTCTTCTTCTTGCGACTTGGAGGAGTTTTGGGTGTTCTAGTCCTCTGTTGTACGCGGTATATCAAGAAATTAGCGTTTAAGATATCACAGGTGTTGTGGTTTACTCGTGAATCGTCCTCAAGCACAAACTTCTGGACAGCGTTTTGCTCCATAGTAAGGCTAGGTTCGCGCCTATAAACCTAGTTATTGTGTTGAGATTAGAGTCCGAAGCAGCATTATTAGGTGCCCGAAAAGGTAAAGTTTTGAGTAGAGATCTTCCACGTATATTTGAAAAGAACTACTTCTAGATAGGTTCTCTGATAGTCCTACACTGTGTTAGAAATACAAGGATCAGGTATTCCACCTTTGTGGTTAATCCTCTGTCCGTTCTTCACCAGTTAACATCGGTGGACCAGCGGGGACACGTTGGATCAAATGGATATCATGCAAACCGAATTCCACGAGTTAAACGTACAGAAGAAATTAGATTTAACAGCCTGGATTGATAGTCTTTCATTCTCAAGCAATAGGGAGTTTGTAGAAATTCCGAGGCGTATCCAAGAAACTCTTCCGGAAAATGTTGAGTTTAAAGGAACTCACATGATCAACACAGGTATGATAGAGCATAACTTAAGTACGGTTTTGTTGTACCACTGGAAATGGATAAAGCTGATTAAACAGTGTCATAGCTCAGGAGATATGTGGTCTACGTGGCCATCACGTGCTCCCGTCTCCTAGACAGGACTTTAACTGCAAGCTGTCTGATTAGTTAGGTGTGGCCAAACGTGATGTGTAAAAGAAAGCGTATCGAGCAGTTGAGGAAGCGTCGTCTTTTGGAGGGAGCCGAATAACTGCAGATTGTGTGTGGGGTTTATGGGTGTATGGTCGTGCTGTTGTAAGTTGTGTGCTTCCCACCTAAGTGAGGTGGTATTGTCATTCGTTTGTTTCTTTTCTCTGTCTTGGATTTTAACCTTTATTCAAGTCTCTTGTTAACCACACCTTATGTCCATTATTTTTCCTTGTTGGAGCTTTTGTTATTTGATACTGGTATAGTGGCCTGAAAATCTGACTCCAATCTGATGGTATGTTGATTGCTATACTATCAAAATATACATGTCGTCAATCTGCATATATATAAATTTCGTCAGCGAATAACAGAGTTAAATAAGTCGAATATGAGAATAAAT